AAAACTTAAAATATTAGTTAAATAAGTTAAAGTATATGTTTTAGATGTTAATTACACTAAATATCCCAAAATTATAACGTAATACTTTCAGATAAACTTGTTTAACACTACGTGTCATTAAAACCCACAGTTTATGTTTAACTGGAAGTTTCACTCGTATCTGGAGGCCATAAGGAGCTGTCAGTGTTGACTTGACGACACACATAGGGGACAAACAAGTGCCTCTGATTCCTAGATGGACGCCTTCGCTGTGAATATAAACTGTCTCAACTACGACCAAAGAATGAGCATGTCTGACTTCGTGATGCTTTGTAGTCAGCCGCCATCGCAGGGCTCCTCTTCTGTGTAATGGACTGTCTTTTGCTAAAAATGAAAGAGCCAGCCTGAAAATCATGCAGCTACCAGAATGATTACTGGAGAGCATTTTCTCTGGCCATGGATGATGACTAAATCATAGATTCCCCAGTAGGGATCATGAGCATTAATCACATAAGGAAGTTAAGTTTGAATTCAATGTGCATTCAATAAGCACAGAATTTTACAATTATTACCACATTGTCCCTTTTTTTTTTTTTTTAACATAAAGTGAAAACTGGATGATTTTAAAATCCGTGGTGCATCTGAACAAGAGCCCAGACATTACCTTTCCTAAGAAATTGAAAAGGGACTAGGTGGCAGGAATGACACCCAACATGAAATTGAGATGATGGCCTCTCTCCTGTGCTTGGTACACGTTAGGCATAAATCATCACTCTTAGCGCTGTGCAAGAATGGACAAAAGTGAAAGCACCACTGTATCTATAAAAATGTAGGCTGCATCTATATTGGGTTACCGGGCTTGCTGCTTTGTCAAAAATAGCTTATCCATTCAAACAGTTCTTCAGGTTAGACCAACTATCAATTTTGATGATTTTTCACCAAATTGAAAAGGTTTAGACTGAAGAAACTGACCTAGCCAATTGTCTTGGGTTCCTGTTGTTACAACTATGAAGATGATGGCTAAAGAAATGAATTCTCTGTCCCGAAATGCTCTTTTTTTATGATATGTAGTGTAAAGCAGAATTTGCAAAATCAACTATTTAAAGGAGCCAGGCAAGTAAGATGAAAATTAGTGGATTATCTAGTTATGACCAACTAGAGAGTTCATGAACCATCTAGAAAGGACAGCTGAATAAACACTAGAAACACATTGGTCACATTGGTACATCATTGATACCACACAGGAATGTAGAAATGTGGTGATGTTTAAATACAGGAACAGGATTTCTGAGACTTCCTGTTTTTTGAGAAAATTAAAAACCTAGATTTTAAGTGCAATCTTGCTATTCATAAATGCCAGGAACTAATTCAGATACTCAAAAAATAAAGGTCAACAGTTACTTCCTCTATCTATATAGGCCTATTTGTATAAGTGTGTAAATATACAGACATTATATATATACATGTATCCATATGTCATATTATAAATATGTATTCATGCACGTTTATATATCTATATGTAAAATTCACTTCTTGGCCACTTTATCCTAGATTTGTCATCTTGCACCCTCAGTGTAATGTAATACTAACTTTCCTGATCTTTGATTACAAAGGAATATATGAAATGTCATTTTTGTCTCTTCTAACACATTTGTAGAAATGTAATATGTATTAGTTAAATGGAATACAGTAGATGTGTTGATAAGAATGCTAATTAAATAGTATTAAATATTATAAAACTATAATAGTTTTAGAAGAAAAACATATTATTAAAAGTGAGGGTTAAGATAACTGAGTACATTTGCCCAGATGAATTTAGTTTTATTTACTCTCACATTCCTTGTGTTCACAAATGACTTTCATCATACATTAAGCATCTGTTGCTTACATGGCACTAAAGGAAAAAATCTGAAGGGCACAGTTATCAAAACAGAAAATAGAACGCACATTATCTTAAAGAATTTATCACATACCACATGATCGTTTGTATTTTAAAATATAAACAGGTGTTAAGTGGATGTAAGATCTATATAAAATAAAAGAGAAGACTTAAACAGAGATTAGAAGAAAAAGCATATTTGGTTTTAAAATATTAAAAAGGAGTTATGATCATTTTAGAACCCATTTAGCATCTTATAACCCTAAAAGAAATATAAAAGTATTCACTTTTCAATGAGAAACAGCATAGTAGAGGGATGGATCATGGAGAAGGAAGTTAGAAGTCCAAGGTTCTCTAGCCAGACTTATCACTTAATAACTCTATGACCATGAAAATATTTTTTAAACTTCTTTCACATTAGAAATTTAGTTTTATCATGTAAGTTTTATGAGAATTGGACAATAAAATAGTGTTATATTAAAAAGGCTCTTGTATACTCTAAAAATCTATACAGCTCTTCAACAATATGGCAAGTTAATCGGTCAAGACTTGCCCATGTTTGAGACTAGGAACTCCTAGTCCAAGTGAACTACCACGAATGTTCAACAGGAATTTAACATGTGCTGTCTGGTAAGTCCTATAATACCTAAGTCCACTAAATATTTACCCCTTCATACCGCGGCATACAACTTCTCAACAATTTGTCCTACACAAAATAACTTATTTTCTTAGAACATTCTGGTTGTGAAATAATAATTTAATCACTAAAAACATTTAACAATTATTTTTAATATAACACTCTTTTTATTTTGTCTCTTAAGAATACAATGTGAGAAAGAGCTAGGGTGAGAAAAACTAATTCTCTGAAAGAAATATTTTGTCCCTATTGTTTTAAGAATGGAAGGCCAACCCTCTTACTGAGAACAACCAGAAAATCTGGACAACATAAAAAATATTCTATTTGAAGTCATCAAAGTGCTAAAAAGGTAAGAATAAGAGAGATCCAAGTCTTGAAGAAGTAAATTGAAATAAGATTATTTTACCTCTTATGACACTGTAAGGACATTTTTCAATTCAGGAAGAAGTAGCTAAGAGATTAGCCATACTAGTGACACACTGCAGAGCTATGAGGACTAAAAAAATAGTCCATAACCCACCAACATTGGGGACTTATTGTAAACAGGGACACACAGATTGTGCCACAGAAGGAAGGGTGAAGCAGGAAAAACAATTTCTCGCAGAGAATACAGAGAATTTTCATTCCGTTTGGGAGGCTAAATACCTGGAAGAGGTTTACTGTGATTGAAAATTTCTAATGCTTACAAATATACATCCAAAACAAACGAGCACCCTCTCTGGAGGAAGGTAACATCACCATGAGTATGAAATTATTTCTACAAATACTTTTCAAAAATACAAGTTCCAGTTCACAATCCAAGATAATTAAGAATAGGAAGACACAAGTGACATGAAAAAGAACCAGGAAGAGCCAACAGACTGGCACCCACAGGGTCTTTATATGTTGGAATGATCAGAAATAGATAACAAAATAATTATGTTTCTGTGTTCTAGGAAATAAAGGACAACATTAAAAAAAAAACAAAAACCTGACAGGTAATTGTATTGAAATTTGTATAATATTTGAAAAAAAAAAAATGAAATTTTAGACCTGAAATACTCTGGTCTCAACAGCGGATTAGACAAAACTGGACAAAATGTTTATGAAAAGGTAGATGGCCCAGAAAAAAAATACTGGGTGACAGAGAAACACAAGGAAAGAAAATAGACACAAGAGGGTTAGATTCATGGACAACATAGTAATAGGCCAAACGTATGCTTAACTGGAATCAGGAAAAAAAGGAAAGGGGGAAAATGTGGCAAAAGTAAAATGGGGAAAAATTATTATTTAAAGAAATATGGGTTGAGGGTTTCCCCAAACTTAAAAAAAGATACCAGCCCATAGACTCAAGATTCGAACTTCAAGATGCCCTGGCTAATTTCCAGCAGGATAAATCAAAAGAAATCCACATAACAAATAATAGTTAAAAACTTCTAAAAAAAAAAAAAACCACAAATATTAAACAAAAACTAGTAAATCTTAAAAACAGAGACGAAAGATTTCCTTAAAAGAAAACAACTGAATTTTAGGTATTTTCTTCACAGAAACAAAGAAATCTGGATGACAGTGGAATTGTTTCATCAAAGTAACAAAAGAAAATATCTGCCAACCTAGAGTTCTATACCCAAGGACATATTCAGGAATGAAAATCAGCATTATCTGTCAAATTTAAGGATATTCAAATCCCTGTACCAAGTAGCGAGGCCTAAAATCTACCTAGGAATAGAAATACGCACATATGTACACCAAAAGGTACATTTAGTATGCTTATTGTAGCATTATTCTTGTTAACCGTAACTTGCAAACAACCCAAATGTCAATCGACAGTAGAATGAATAAACATATTGTGTCATATTTATACTGCAAGATGCTATACTTTAATGAAAATGAATGGTCTATAGTTCCATATGAATGAAAAAAAAATCTCAAGTATACACCGAGTACTCTACAGGAATGTGGATGATTTTACAAATATAACATTGAACTAAGAAAAAAAAACATTAAAACCATTAAAACTATATATTACAAGATATAATTTATTTAAAGCTCAGAAACAGGCAAAATTAAATTAAAGATTAATAGCTACATCCTTAGGAGTTCAAAATAAAGCATCAAAATGTATCAAACATTTCAAGATGATAATAGCTAATTTTAGAGGAAATGAAAGATTTTGTGATTGGAAAGCTGTAACAGGGAGGTTTCTGGGATACTGGCAATATGCTGTTTTTTGACCAGAAGGTTTGTTGATTGACATTAGTTTTATAATGATTTATAAAGCAGCATATTTGCGAATTTAAGAACTTTTTTTAAAAAAAAGAGAGAGAGAGAGAAATATTTTCTGTCTTCTAATTCCATGCGATCTATAACATTTTTCGTTATCACCAAAGAATGTACTGCAAATTAAGCAGTCGGGGACTGGAAGAGACAATAAAAATAATGTACCCCAACAATTTCATTGAACGGGTGGAGAAGTAGTTGCCAGATTAGCTGTGACCTAGTCAAGGTCACGCTGTGGTCACTTACGGAGATAACTGGTACAGGTCTCTTGGACTCCCCATCAGATGTCCCAGGTAACCTGTGCAATGCAGTATCTAAGAGCCCATGAAGAAATCCATTCTCCTAAAACACGCTGAAAGGGAGAGAATAATATTGGTCATATAACTTCTTCTCTCTAAGTTCAGTTCTTGCCCCCAAAATGCAAGCAATCTGCAGAGGATTTGTCAGCTGCAGAGGAAATGGAGCAGGTGTCCTCATGATGAATGTGTTCAGGCAGGCTCTAAGTGCCCCGCTGCAAGCGTAGGCTGACCCAGGGGGCCGCAGGGAGGATCATGGTGAGGGGAAGTGCCATAAATAGGTCAACCTTTCCTTAGACTGTGGTGTGTTAAAAGATTTAAATACCAGTCTTCAAACTGTAATAAACATCAGGGAAATGGTAAAATGAAGTAGGAAAGCATTATATGCTAGAATGGCATGTGACCACTACAAAGTGATATTTTAATGTTTTTGAAAATACTCTCAAAATTGTATTAAGTCAAACAGGTTACAATCTGTAGCCCAAAAAATGCCTATGAAAACATGTGTAAAATACCTATAACATCTACAAGTCACAGACCTGTTTTAGAAATCTTTTTTCATATGGATCTAGAGATCTGATTATTACATATGTTGATATCTATGTTTTTGTAATAGATTGCTGTTAAAAAAATTATCTTGCTGCGACAATCAAACTGATACATAAATATGCTCTGTACTGGCTTCTGTGACACTTACTTCTCTTCTGCCCCCTTTCTACACGTTATATATGTAGTTTTAAACGGGTGCAATCTAGGTATATACCTATATAGTTACTATATGCCCAAGGGAACTATCTGGAATTATCCTCAAATGCAGTTCTCCTTTCTGGGCCCTCACACCCTATGAATCACTGATTCCTGTCAAGTTTATCTCATTTACATCTTTCTAATCTCCCTTCTTCTTTTTTTTTTTTTTTTTTCATTCTTCCTGTCATCGCTTTTGCATCAGTCCCTCAGTATTTCTCACTTTGATAATCGAAACTCAACCTGAGCCTCTATTTTCATTGTTGTTCCTTCTGGATATTATTTCTCTATTTCACCTTTCCAACTCAACATTGCCTAGTAGTTATAACTCCTCTTTTAGAACTTCACTGCCACAAAGAAATCTCCCCCAAATTCTCAACGCTCACCCCAATTCTAAGCCTGAGATAGGTCTCCCTTCTTTCTCACATTGCCTTGTTTATACCTCTGTCATAATGCATATTTCTATGGCATTGAGCTTATCTGTTTATGTCTTGCATCAGGACAAAGGGGATCTTTTTCTGCCTTGTATCTCAATGCTTACGGCAAAGTGCCCGATTTATAGAAGTAACTCGATGAATGGTTGCTTAATAATAGTTTAACTTTAGAGCAAACCGGGACAATCACAGAGCATCTTTGTCCATCTGCCATAGGAAGATAAACAAAATTGAGAAAGGTAAGAGTTAACTCAATACCACCATGGATGATGAATTTTCAGAGTAAAGTTTTTGACTTCTGTCCCTCATTTTGAACATCACACTAAAGAAAAGCTTTTAAACATTTTCAAACTAATTCATAGATGCTTTGCAGCACTGCTCTTTGCATCTGAAGACAGGTACAGTTTCAGGATAGATTAGACTTTAGAAGGCTAGTGTAATATGGAGGGGGATATAGTTGTTTCATGATAACTTTGAGAGTAAATCATGGTGGTCAGTCAAAGAACTGGGTTTAATAGATTCAAGAATCCCCAATAAGCCTGAATTCACTGTGCCTTCCTCTGTTTATTCTTATTTATTTTAGTTCAAGTGCTACACAGCAAACATGGCCACAATCACACACTACTCCCAGCATCCAGGTACCATTGCAATGTGACTTTGTATCCCCTCCTGTCAGGTGTGAAGCATATTTCCTTATCACTTAAATACTGGCTGATACTGTGACTTGCTTTAACTAACAGAGTGTGGTAGAATTTGCGTCGTAGCCAGTTCCAAATTTAAGTCTTGCTCTCTCCCACACTTTTTCTCTACCAAGCACTGGCATGTGAACCAGCCCGGGATAGTCTTCTGGGTGACAAGAAACATGAAACTAGACACTGCTTTCACCCCAACCAACATCCACTCAACTCCCAAAAGCGGAGTCCCCCTAGCTGACGTGCTTCTAAACCACAGACGCGTAAGGGAGTTCAGCCACGACAGAACAACTGCCCAAGTGAGCCCGGACCAACCTGTTAAATCAGAGAGTCATAAACTAAATAAATGACCGTTGCAGTAAGGCACTAAATTTTGGAGCAATTTGTTAAACAGAAACTAGTGAATATAATGGCCTTGTGCTTCAGTTTTTCTCATCTGTAAAATGAAATCAGCAATATCATCTACCTCGTCTGTGTAACCTGAGGATTACATGAGCAAACATATTAAGATGCATCGAACAGTGCCTGGCGCTCAGTAAGAACCGACAATGTTAACTGTTGTTATTTGAATTTAACACGCCTCTGCTTGGGGCCGGTTCTCCAAAGGACTCTCTCTGTCCTGGACTGCTCTATTTGAAATGTGATTTACAGAGGTACTACCTAAAACACAGAGTGAGAAAACCATGGTTGCATGGAGAATGCAATACCCTCATGGCCCTTTAGAGGTAGCATGGCCAAAATGCCCCTTGTTTCCCCAAGAAACAAGAGAGGCTGACAGAAGGGAGGGCTGCAAAGGCACAGTTTGTTGAGTGTGTGACTCCTCACAGCAGCTTCCTCATGAGCCCCAGTAACTACTCGCCGTGTTACCCCCGACAGAGGTAAATGTGGGGGCTCTCAAGAGCTCCTCCGTTACCTCAGCACCCTTTCTGCAAGCCCTTAAGAACCACGCAGTTTGTTACTTCGGGCTCAGAAAAATCACTGGCAGATTCCCTGGCATCTGCTTCCCCGGTTCTCTCAATCACTGAATAAACTCCTAATTCTCTGTATTAGTTTATTCAATGTCCGGAATAAATGCTACGGAATGACCTTGGTTTGCTGTCTGTATATCCCATTCAGCACGCCTTCAAGAAGTTGCTCACACCATTGTTGCCAGAACTCTGTGCAAGGAGGGATTAAAAATAATGTCCTGCTCAGGATGGCCATGACCCAACTTAAAATCGAAGGTTTTATTACTAAGAAACAACTAGAGAGCGAATATTGATAGCAACAAGCAGTCTCTACCTCAAAGAGCATGCCCTTTCTTCCTTCCTTTCTTCCTTTTGTTCTTTCTTTCTTTGTCATCTCTTCTTCATCCTAGCGATACCCTTTAAACTGTTCTTCACATCACTATATCAGAAAGGCAGCAACCTCAAGCTAAAAAAAAAAAAAAAAAATGAACACCAGACATATAGATGACAGCAATTTCTTGAATACTAAGCTCTTGATGCCAAATCGATTTTCCATTTTTTTTTTTTTTTTAGTTTGGTGTTTGCTATTATTTTATTCAAGGCATCTTTTTGGACATCATCAATACACACATGCACCAACACTACCATAGGCCTCTCTGAGCCTCTGTCTCTTCAACTATTAAATAAAAGCACTAGTAATGCTTTTGCTCTGCTCACTTCACGTGGATATTTCAGTGATAAAATAAGATGACGACGTGAAAATATTGTGTGATGGGCAGAGCCCCGTGCAAATGTCAAGGATTAAAATTAGTAATTACACTTTATTATGCCATATTTAATTAGGATCGAAATTAGTAAAATTAGTGTTAAAGTTAGTGGCTGTACCGACATCTTCCATCGATTCATTTCAAAGACATTCCTGTGTCAGAAGGAGAGAAAAATCTATACCACGGCCCTGGCAGTACCGTGAAATGGATAGAGGTGCCGTCTTTTTGCAATTTCTTCTGGCACCTAGAGCAAAGAGGGCAGCTGAGTCATATCTCCCACAATGGGATGACCCTGGCAAGTGTGTTTTTGCCACTGGCGGTGCGCTTGTGAATCTTAACATTCACGGTCAGTGCTTACGAGCTGACAGCTGGGATTTACAATACTTGTAGCTAAATCATAAGAGCAGCTGAAAAGCACAGGCCATCTGCTGCAGGTGTGCACCCAAACACCCTCACATTCATCAAGTACACGTTGACGCCCATTAACAAAACATTTAACGGTGCGAGTTCTCTTCAGCCGTCTTTTCTGGCATTAGCGTTAAAATGTTATCAGCAGGCTTTATGCCTTACTCATAAGAAACGGTAACTGTCCTCATCCAAGCACATTCTGACAGAGTGTTGTTCACATGGCAACGTCCATCAGACCCCGTGGAAGCGGTGACCTGGCACATCTTGGCTTTGCACCTCATCTGTCTGGACTGGACATTTACTGGATAGGTGCTTGCAGTGCAGGCGGAATTTTTATCTATCTCATTATAATCCCCTGCATTGACTTCATCAGCCACAAAAATAGCCAGGGTGCACAATAAGCCCTGGGCTGAAATTTCCAGGAAGCTGAAGTCTACATGTGCAGTTTATTTTTGCTCTGCTTAAGTGCACGTACCTACTTCATGTGCCCGTGCTATTCTGGCCTTCACGTGACTCATGCTCATAGTACACAACCGGGTCCCTCTGTGTTGTCTCCTGGCCTCATCTTCCATGATGCTGCATGAATACTATGGATACTCCCAGCTGGACATTTTAATTACTTTTTAAATTTTTTTAAATTTAATTTAAAAAAAATTTTTTTTTTGAGGCAGAGTCTTACTCTGCTGCCCTAGGAAGTGTTGTGATATCAGCCTCGCTCACAGCAACCTCAAATTCCTGGGCTCAAGCGATCTCCCTGCCTCAGCCTCCCAGAGTGCTAGGCTTATAGGCGTGAGCCACCGTGCCCAGCCTTAATTATTGTTATTGAAAATGATCAGATTAAACTATTTTGTAAGAATGTGAGAATTATTTCCCTTAAGTTCTTATATCCTAATAGAAGACCTATATTGGTCAGGGCTCTCCAGATAAACATAACCAATAAGAGATTTATTATAAAGCTTTAGCTCACATGCTTATAGGGGCTGAGAAGTCCCACAATCTGCTCTCAAAAGCTGGAGACCTAGAAAGGCCTGAGGGCCAGAGAGCCAATGGTGTAGATTCCAGTCTGAGTCTGAAGGCCTGAGAACCAGAAACACAGAAGGCGAGAAGATCAATGTCCCAACTCAACCAGTCAGTCAGGTACAGAAAGTGAATTCCAACCTTCCTCCACTTTTTAAATTCTTCTCAGGCCCTCAAAGGATTGAACGATGCCTCACCACATTGGGGAGGGGCATCGGTTTTGCTTAGTCCACCAACTGAACTTCTGCTCTCTTCTAGAAAAACCCTCCCAGACGCCCTTGGAAATAATACCTAACCAGCTATCTGGGCACCCCTTAGCCCAGTCAAGTTGACACATAAAATTAACCATCATGAGATGCTTTATAATTAAGGAGAGGTCTTCCAAGCCAGCCACGGCCTGCTATGCACCCTTTTAATGGATTATGTTCAAATGTAGATTTATCTGACTCTTACTGCTCCTTTCTTCCTCCATTTTGACAAAGCATAAACAATAAAAATACACAAATATAGATACTTATGGCTTAGCAAGGTCTTAAAAATCCCCCCCAAGCAGGGATTTTTTTCTCATAAAAGTTGTGTGGAATAAATAGGTAAAGTCAGGAGAACTAAGCCTGGAGCCCACCTATGGCCACTCATCACATGTGCTAAGCATGGGCAATGTGGCCACCATTGTTAATTTAATTTATTTAAATTTGAATTTAGAAACTGAAATGGTATACAATATTTTTTTATTAAACATGACTCAACATGCTTTAACTATTGACATTTTAGTGTCAAGATTGAGATGTGCGGAAAGTATAAACACCAGATTTTGAAAACTTAGTATGAGAAAAGAATATACAATTTCTTATTGATAATTTAACACCAGATACATATTGAAATAGTAATATTTTGGATATATTGGGTTAAATAAAATGTATTATTAAAATCAATGGCAACTATTTCTTTTTACTTTCCTTAAACATGGCTACTATCAAAATTAAATGTACATGTTTCTCACACTGTATTTTTATTGGACAGCATTGCTGAAAGGACAAAGTCAATAAATATCCCTGTGCCATGATCTCTGCCTTCATTCTCAGTAACGTTCACTTTAAATTTCTATCTATCACCCAGCCCAAAATCTTGATCCTTGCAATTCTACTTTTTCCTGATTTTGTTCCAATGTAATAGAAATAAAAAAATTTTCTTAGAGCAGGGAGTGCTCCCAATCTCACTGCCACAAGAATTAAACATGGATGTAGGAAAATGTAGACCACCATGGCAATGCATTTGTATGTGGAAAAGGTAAGAGGTTAAGGCAGAAAGAAAATGGTTTCTGGACATTCCAAGTTTTATTTGAAGCCATTTCTCAACAAGATATTTTTACAAGTGAAGTTATGATGTTTAGTTGTTTTAGTACCAAATCACCTGCTATACATACATCATAGTTTAAAAGGCCTTCTAATCAATTACTTAGGATCTAACTGAATCCTCAATATGATTTAAATTAGACTATACATGCTGAGTTCTAATAAACCAATTAATGATAATATTCCAGAGTGATTAATAAAAATCTGTATTTCAATAAGTAAAAATTCTTAGAGTAGTTTTGAAAAAACTTGTATATGTGAATTAAGTTTAGCTTTAGAGTTCCTTGTTACTACTGTAAGTAATTACATTTAAGAAAAGATTCTTGGCTGGGCAGGTAGCTCACACCTGTAATTCTAGCACTCTGGGAGGCTGAGGCAGGCAGATCATTTGAGCTCAGGAGTTCAAGACCAGCCTGAGCAAGAGCGAGACTCGTCTCTATTAAAAATAGAAAGAAATTAGCTGGACAACTAAAAATATATAGAAAAAATTAGCCGGGAGTGGTGGCGCATGCCTGTAGTCCCAGGTACTTGGGAGGCTGAAGCAGGAGGATCGCTTGAGCCCAGGAGTTTGAGGTTGCTGTGAGCTAGGCTGACACCACAGCACTCTAGCCCGGGAAACAAAGTGAGACTCTGTCTCAAAAAAAAAAATATTCTTAACATTTGGGATTAAATAGTTGTCTGAGCAAACATTATATCATTGCATAGCACAAAAATAATCAAACTCACAGTTTTCGAACTGTGCTCTATATAATCCTTTGGGTGCTCCCAGCGGTGGTGAAAATAACTCTTGTGAGAAATCAGAGAAGGAATACACATCCAAACTCCCAGTTACAGCTTAATCCAGAGGAGCTCCTCTGTTATTGGAGAGAACCTAAGACAACAGCTGAAAGTACAAGGCTTTCAAATCAAATGACTTTGGGTCCATATCCTTACTTTGCCATCTAGTGGATGTGGAATGCCAGGACATTTTCTTACAAGAAAAAGCAGGAATGATAACATCTACATCCCAGCGGTTTCTGAGAGTTATTTTAGGGGATAAATATAAAAGTATGCAAAGCACTTTGCCCGTAACCACGCAAAGATTAACTGCTCAGTTGAAAACAACTATCATGGCTTATCTGTTTTATAGATTTGGCTCTTTGATAAGATTTAGTTTAAGCTTAAGGCGAAGTGTTTTATGGCCTCTAATTTTTTGGACCTTCTTAACTTTTGTTTTGGATACTATGCTTGAGAGAAATTGCATATTTAATGTAGAAAACCTGAAGGAGGCATTTTTTCCAACAGTGTGTGGATGGATATGATAAGAACTGATCAGTCTACGGGCCACAGAAGTCATAGTATTTCTCCACGTTTGTTGTGAGACCACAACCTATCCCAAGACCCGTGACCAATAATTCAAGCCAGGCTATGAGCTGAATATGCAGATCGTGTTTACATCAGTGAAAACTACTCTTGTCCCTTTCTCTCTACCTCACTTGTGGGTTTGGATACAAAAAAATATATATAGAAAAAAAATGGTGAATAATAGTAACATTTTAATTCAAGTATTTCCTCCTGTGGGTTTTGCTGAAAATCGTCTGAGGTTTCTAAAAGCAGCTTGAGAAACCAGCAGTTTGCTTCATTCATCCACTCCCTGCAAAAATCAGTTTCTCTTTGGTCCCCAGACCGTCATCCTGTCCCTTAATGATTATTCCCGCCCTGACCTTTGAAAAGGCTGTAATTCTCCTCTGAAATACCCCTTTTAATTATCTTCCATTTATTAAAATCTCTTCATTCTTCACGATTTTTTTTTCAAGTTCTTCAAGACAGCTGAAGTTTCCTGTTACTTATAAAGGCTTCCTGGATGGCTGTAGTTAATCTTCTCTCTTCTTGCAATGATATTTTTTCCTCTCACGATTTGAGTCAATGCTACAAATTCAGGCCCTAATTGTTTTCTCTTTGTTTCGTTTATATTCATTTTATCTTCCAACTGAGTTGCAGATTCCTAAAGGCACAATTATAAACATATGCTAGATATAAGATAAAAGCTTGTCAATCGGTTTCTTACCGAAGGCTTCAAGCCAACCTCTAACTTAAGGAGCATATTTGGCACCAGAGTAAAGCTCCTGTACTGACAGACTATAGGAAGTATACCAGAGTGGTATATTACAGGCCTATTTCTAAGTCAGCATACCCAGGCATAAGAACAACCAAAAGCTTCCCGTTGGCTACTCTAATCCGCTAGTGTCTTATATCCATCTTAAATTTTACCCTAGTTGATTGGACTCAGCCTAAAAGTATATTGAGAAGATATCTCATCATAAAATATAACACGGGAGTATATTTTTTCAAAAACATTTCTGTCCTTTGAATTATGCTTTGATCTCAGTATATTTACCAGCTCAGGATGCCAATTGATGTCACCGTAGACAGAGCTAATAAACAGCTCTGCCAACCTCGTTCTAACTTCCTGCCAGTTGGTGAAATAATTGTATCACCTGCTTAGACATATTTAAGGGATCTTTTGGAACTCTTGCTTGTCCATTTTAAAGAAAACAATTCTTCTCCCCAAGTCCCTTCCCCTCCAAAACTTTTGAGTCTCCAGAGTTAGGATTTAAAGTTGACCCTGTTACCTGGCCATCTGGGCACAGCCCTTCTCTTCCCTTTTGGCCGTACCCCAGGTTTGGAAGCTGAACCTCTAGCACAGCAATGGCCAAGGAGTGGAGGATTCCGTAAATTTCTACTGTACTGCTGGGATCACAAGCTGGGACTCTATTGTTTTTTTTTTTTTTTTTTTTGGTGATACGTGTAAAATTCCTGTTGTAATAAGCGGGTTTTCAGTAAAATTAAATTAATCTCTTCATATCTAAGCCATATTCATTAAGGATGGATTCTCTGGTTTTGAATAATTTCATAAGGAGGAATAAATAGTTATTTCACAGGGTGTAGAGGGGATGGAATACGTGGAACAATACTTAGACCTAAGCTAGGTAGCAGAAAAGAAAGGAAATCTTTGCTGTTTACCAGGGTCTCCTCTGGAGACTGCCAACAAACACAGAAAGTAACAGACAGGACTTGTGACCACATTTGGTGGAATCTGTAAGTGGGCTAGGGTCAGCAGATACATTTTTACCCTTGGACTTCCTCTGTTTTACATGCAGTGCATTGTATATTCTCCTGAGTCCTTTAAGTGATAAATTTCTTGATTAAAGGGCTCATTATTTTTCATTACCTTTACTGAGTGCCTATTATGTGCCAGGAACTACCCCAATCAAATTTTATCTCCCATATTAATCAACACATTTTCAGTTCTCGATAATATTTATACTTAGAATATTTCAGGGCTATAGGATTGTCCTCTTGAATGTCACATTTTACAATATGAAAAAGTAGAGAAGTCATAAGGAATCAGAGAACATCTGTAGGGACAGTCAAATAAACTCTGAATTATTTGATCACTGTTTGTATGTCCTCTTTCTTTGTCTCATGAAAGTAGAGAGCAAAAAGTTATATTTGCCACTGGAAGGGTATTTGAAAGTGCTTGGGTACTTGCCATTTTACATAATTGAATTCTGGATGAGAAAATGAACATTTTATGAATATAATACAACATGTTTTTTTTTTAATTTGTAGAAAATATGTCTTCTTCTTGTGCCATTTATGCCTTCATCAGTGTATTGCCTATAAAACAGAAACATTTTTGCCTAGATACAATATTACTTTTG